TATAGTAATGTATTGCACGAGGAGGTGAAAAGTTTCAATCTAATCTGTTGGAAATTTATTGATATATTTATTTGTATTCAAATTTGCCATAGATTTGAATGGTAGTATACAGTCGGCGTGTCTGTCCTCGTTTCTACCCACCGTTGCCAAGGAAACGCTCGACAAACTGCTGGTGGAAGCTAACATTTTGCCACAGAACAACAGCAAAGGTATTGAATTACAATTACACGAACGTTTGTACGTATACTTATGTAGGTTGTTCGAACCGGAACAATCTACCAATTTTTAATATATCTCTGTATAATAGCATATATATATATATATATTGGTATACATGTGTGTATCCCGTGCTTGTGTTGATCACTTATTGTGACGATTGATAGCCTTCATTCAGTGATGAATATCTGCTGTTTGGTTTTAAAAGCGTGTACCTCTCTCCTATCTCCTTTTTAACATGCGCCAGAATCTGTGAAGTTCGCTTAACGTGCACGCACATGCATTTCATTCCCATAATATTACCTTATGTCAACTGTATACCATATATCAAATATTTACCATATTTCAACTGTTTTCAGTCTTCATTCCTTAATATGAGTACACCCCTTGTGTGGGTCTATTAACTGATTATATCTCTCTCGCTTTCTCTTCCTTTAAACAGAGGCTAGTACTGTGGAAGATCACTTCGTCAACGTACGCAATCCGGAGACTGGACTGCTAGAAGTGCGGTACCAGGATGTGGTGGCGCCATTAAAGGAGTTGTCGGCCACGGATCAGGTGTGCTAAAAATAGAACAGTCTATATGAAATAAGTTTTTATTTATAGAAGCAGGTTGGGTTGTACCCTGCTGACGATTTGGTAACGAGACAAAGTATTCCCTCTAAAAATGGATTTACTGACTTATTCATACTTACGTAACCCTCGCTCTTTACATATGCACAGGCTGTGGCACTCTATCATATACAATGTGTGCTATAGCCACCCCCATAGTTACAGACTTCTCTATAGCCTCCAGCATATACACAGTCAGTGCCTTCCATAGCTACCAGCATAGTCAGATAATGCCAGCATTACCCCCTCAGACATGCACCAGAGAGTATACATCCTCATATGTAGCCACCCCGTCATGTGCGTACACACAGGTCTTGGTACCGGATATCGTCTTCTACGACAACCAGCAACACACACAGATCATGTCGGAGATGCTCAAAGACTATCAGTTGGGTGAGCACATACTGCTTGTGGGCAATCAGGGAGTGGGCAAGAACAAGGTCGTCGACCGGTTTCTGCAGGTGTGTGTACTGTGTTTTAACACTACACATGTCAGGTTCGTAGGCATGTGTGTATGTATATATGTGTGTATGTATGTATATATGTATGTATGTATGTATGTATGTATGTATTTGTGTATGTATGTATGTATGTGTGTATGTATGGATTAATGTATGTGTGTATGTGTATGTATATATACATGTAGTACGACAAAGCGTATCGTCAAACTACAAGTCGTACGCCAATACAACAAAACGTAACATGAAACGTTGTACCTCCACCGCCACAGGTGATGAATCGACCGAGAGAGTATGTGCAGTTGCACCGAGACACAACAGTACAGTCGCTTACTCTACAGCCATCTATCAAAGATGGCATCATCGTATACGAGGTACTTTTACTCTAATGTTGCAAATGTGTATATATGTATATAATTATAAGTATATAAGTATTCATGTATATATATATATA